AGGGCATGAGGAAGGAGAGTTACGTGTTTGGTGAATGCCTAAGTAGCTGTCACAGAGCCTGAGTCCAGGCTGGCAGGGACAAAGGAAAGAGTTTCTAGGCAGATGGGGGAAGCGGCTCAGTGAGCTCAGAGACTTGGAAGTCTTTCTGCTGCAGGAGCCCATGCAGAGGTCTGCGGGCTTTCTGCGCTCATCCGTGGGTGGGACCAGGAGGGTGGAGGCTGGTGCATTGGGCAGGAAGCTTGGTAGGCAAAGACTGATCTCTACAATACCAGGAAAATGGTTGGAAGGTACTTAGGGCCAGCTGAGGGGACAGAGAAGGTGAGAGAAAGTCCAGGAGTCCCAGTAGGTGCAGTGCAGGAAAAGGGCAGGAAGATGCCAAGAACAAAGTTTCTACAGCAGAGGTGGAGGATTCTGGGACAACCAGTCCAAGGTGCAACGTGGGTGTGGCCATAGAACTGGAGCAGAGGTGACAGGCAGTGTGACTGGTTATCAGTGAGAAGGAGGGGACGGGCATGCCACGTGACCTGACAGTGGGCGAACTCTGAACTCACCTTTCAGATCAGTGGGGCGCGTGGGTGGGAGCCGGAGTGGGGGTGGAGGTCGAAGTGGGGAGTGTGGGGTGGGGTCCTGAGTCGGGAGTGTGGGAAGACCCACTTGTCTGGATGATGCCAGGATCTAGCTAAGTCCCACAGAAAAGCCTGGCGCATTGTAAGATTCCAGGAGAGACCACAATATGCCAGGGGGCATAAAGGGAAGGATTGGACACAAGAGTGTGTGGGGCGGGGATGGGAACATGGTGGGATTTGGGGTAACTATGCAAGGACAACCTCTGATGTGGTCGTTGAGGGGTACACATGCCAGGACTAGCGTGCTCCACACAGCGGGGCAGCAGTGGTACTCACAGCCGTGTATGCTGGACTTGAAGCCAGGGCCTCCTGCGTGCTAGGCAAGCAGTTATGCTTTTACTATCCTTAGACGACCTCTCTTGTACACTAGCCTGGCTGTGTGTTGGAGAATGACCTTGAACTCCTGATCCCCTACCTTCCCAGTGCTGGGATCACACGTGTGTACCACCATGTCTGTTTTATGTGGTGCTGGGGCTCAAATCCTAGACCCAGTGGGTGCCAGGCAAACTATACCAGCTGACTACATCCCCAGCCCTTTCCTTCCTTCTGAAGATTTACTTTCTTTTAATTGTCCGGATGTGTGTGTGTTTCTGTCTGTATACAAGTATGTGCACAAGCCTGGGTCACCCTGGAGCTGGAGTCGAATGGTTATGAGCAATTGGATGTGGATGCTGAGAGCTGATCTCAGGTCCTCTGCAAGAGCAGTGTGTGCTCTTGACCACCGGCCTGCCTCCCAGCCCCTCTTTTTGTTTGTTTGTGTTTTCAATGCGTGTTTGTGGCGGTGCTGAAGGTCGCGCTCAGGACGGGCACACAGACAGGTCCTCCAGTTTTTGTTTGAGATGGGTTCTTCTTCAGCCACACCTTCGCAAACGCTCGGATGCTAGGCAAGCCCCATCCTGCCCGGTTTACCTCACACCTTCCACCCCAGTTAAGACTGGGGCCACAGGCAGCTGTCTTCTGCTGATGGACGTCCACGCTCGTGTTTTCCCTCCCATCCAAAGCAAATGGAAGCACCTGGCTGGCCAGTCACAGGTGATTGTACTGGTAGGAAACCATCTGTTCCGCGGCCACTCTGTCACCTGCAGTGAAGTGTTGCCCAAGTAGACAAGAAAAGATAAGGCAACCGAGATGGCTGAGCTTAAAAATAAAATGGGGCGAGAGCAGTTGGGAGTGCGCGCTGCTCTCCCTGAGGATCCAAGCCTGGCTCCCAGCATCCACATCAGGCAGCTCACAGCCACCCACCGGTCACTGCAGCTCCAGGGGAGCAAATATTCCCTCTGGGCCTTCCTAGGCACCCACACTCATGGCACATGTCCACCCACAGATACACACTCAACCTAAAATTCTAAATCTTACCAGGCGGTGGTGGCACATGCCTTTAATCCCAGCACTCGGAAGGCAGAGGCAGATGAATCTCTCTGAGTTGGAGGCCAGCCTGATCTACAAGAGCTAGTTTCAGGGCAGCCAAGGCTACACAGAGAAACCCTGTCTCGAAAAATGAAAAAAAAAAAAAACCCAAAATTTAAATCTTCTAAATAAAGCAAACAAACACTTTTAATATTCTGTGAAATTTAAGTAGATCTCTACGAAAATCTTCAGACCAGAAGTTTGGGAACATTTGTCATAGGATCCTGTTTTGAGGTTAGTATCTCCCTTCCCTCATTTCAGAACCCCCTCCCCACCCAGTGGCGTTCACAATCAAATCAGAGCCTTGTTCCTAAGGAAGGGCTCTCAATAAACTCCTCCCATTCCTTCTGTTTTTGCTTTGATTCATTTTGGTTTGAGACAGGGCATCTCTATCTGTGTAGCCATGGCTGTCCAAGAACTCACTCTGTAGACCAGGCTGGCCTCCAACTTTCAGAGATCTGCCTGCTTCTAATTCCTAGTGCTGGGATTAAAGGCGTGCGCCACCACTGCCCGGCTGTTCGTTTTGATTTTAATTATTTATTGTTACTGTGTGTTTGTGTGAGTACAGGTTCCCACAGAAGCCAGACCTGGATTACAGATGTTTTTGAGCCACCCAACATGGGCGCTAGGAATCAATCTCGGGTCCTTCAGAAGAAGAGCAAGTACTTTTAACCACTGAGCCGTCTCTTCAGTCCCCCAGCCTTCCACTTTGACATTATGAACATCTGATTCTGGTCTTGTTCTTGCCGATCCTTCAAACTCTTTAGAACTAAATGTGTCCCCAGGCCTCTCAGGGTGGTAGGAATGTTTGATTGACGTGTGTAGATATCCCATCCAGAGGCCTGAGTGGGGATAGTCGGCAGCCAACACCTGTCAGTAGGTAAAGATGGGGCCACACACTGAGGACCTTGGTTCCCTTCCCAACACTCACGGTGGCTCAGGACCATCCATAACTCCAGTCCCAGAGGATCTGATGCCCACTTCTGTCTTCTGGGGGCACCAGGAACACACATGGTACAATAACCTGCATACAGGCATAACATCCATGCACATAAAATAAATCGGAACATAAGTAAGTAAATATAAGGGCTGGAGAGACGGCTCCATGGTTAAGAGCACTTGCTCTTGCAGAGGACATGGGCTTAGTGCCCAGCACCCACACAGTGGCTCACAACCACCTGATATTCCAATTTCAGGTGATCCAATGCCCTCTTACTGCAGGCCCACTGTGCACCTACATACATGTAGGCAAACACTCATCCACATAAACATAAGTTGGTTTTTTTGTCTGGTTTTTTTTTTTTTTGTCTTTTGAGGCAGGGTTTCTCTGTGTAGCTTTGGCTGTCCTGGAACTCGCTCTGTAGACCAGGCTGGCCTCGAATTTACAGAGATCCACCTACTCTGCCTCCTGAGTGCTGGAATTAAAGGTGTGAAAGGTGTGTGCCACCACCACCCTGCAAAAAAAAATAAATATTTTTAAAATAAAAAAATCTAAGTGCCTGTTGTGGACACCCCAATCAATGTCTTTCCTGTTTGATGTTACAGGAACATTGATTGACATTATATGTCAGGTCGCCAGTACAGCTGCCAGCAGGCCTCCAACCCGTCCCAGGGTGGAGTGACTTACCCTATAAGACTAGCCTTGCTTGGAGCTCAGTTCTTTGTATTTATCAAACATGGTTCCTCTTCACTCCAATTTTCAATGACACTGGTCCCAGGGTGCCAAGGAGCTTCCTCTTAGACCAGTGTTTCCTCAGCGCTGGGCTTTTGGAAGGCAAAGGAATTGAATGTGGAGGTTCAACTTCCTGCTTCCTAAAGCACACAGGGGGCCTGTGGTTCTGCACCTCCTGGAAACAAAGTTGCCGACTTCCTGGGAGCCTCGGGAGGGAAGAGCTCAGGGGAACATGGGTAGAGCGCCTCAGCCTCTCTAGGAATCCCTGCTAATGCCTCTGTGTCTGTTTTCCAGATGGAGGTTCTGTGGTGAAGGCCCGACTGCTCACCTGTGTGGAGGGGATGGATCTGTCCTTGTTAGAAAAAGCCATCCTGGAGCAGAGGCTGTGCCTGCAGAAGAAGCAGCAGCCAATAGGAGTCGCCAGCACCTTGCCCTCTCCTCCAGCTGCTCCTCCTTCCCATTGACAGCCTTCGCTTGGAACCAGAAAGCAGCAGCGGGGGTGGGGGTGGGGGATAGGGGGGTGAGGTGAGGGGGGTAGGTGGGAGAAGTGGGGGGTGCCCCTTCTCTGAACTTTGGACTGACCTGTAAATGGCCAATAAAGCATGAGCTTGTAGTGTGTGTGTACCTGGTGCAGAGCCGGCTTCAGCCAGCAGGGGCCAGCAGGGGGAGCCATAGCAGACAGCTTGCCTGACAGAGAAGCTGCAGCCTGCTGAGGGCTTCTGGTGACTTCTGGGCAAGGAGGCTGAGGGGAAGATGCTAGGGGCCTAGAGGTGGGGTTGGGGGGACCAGGGACAGAGTTGGGGGGGCCAGGATGCAAAGGGGTCACCCTTGCTGAGGTTCTGACCTAAGAATTGGCAAACTGGCCAAGCTAAGGTCCTGGGTCTTGATGTGTGACCCAGAGCAGGACTGTAGCTTCAGAAGCCGTGGCCAACTCCTAACCTCTGCCTCAGACTGCCACCCTCCCCTGTACAGCCTTTCTGGGTAGATTCTCGTGGCTCCGGAGCACTGGTTTGCCTAGCCTGAAACATGGGCTGAGGCAGAAGTTTGGGCTCTCCTGCACTCCGTAGCCAGGCAAAGGCGAAGCAGGCGCTGGGCTGAGCTGGGCTGGCCAAGAAGCAGCCTTTAGCCTTGAACCATCTTCCTGAGCAAGATGGTGGCAGGCGGTGCCCGAGGAGAGGGGGTTAGGGTCAGGGCTGGTCACGGTTTGACTTGCAGACTGGAGTCTGGAAGTGGGGATGCTTCATATGGAATTTAAATGTCCAGATGCGGTCTGTTTCCCTGTCAGCTCTACAGACATGGATGCGTTCCGGAAGGTCGAAAAGATCGGAGAGGGCACCTATGGGGTGGTCTATAAGGCCAAGAACAAGGAGACTGGGCAGATTGTGGCCCTCAAGAAGATCAGGCTGGATGTGTGAGTGTCGATGTTCACCCCAATGCCCCATCTGTCTCCCAGGGGAATACCAAAACCTGTCCTCACCTCGTGGGCTTGCATTCGACCTCAATGGTAGCCAAGAAGGTGCAGCCCTGTGGGGCTTGGTGGGCATAAAGTGTGCAAAAGTGGGAAATGTTGTATGTAATCACACACACACACACACACCCCATACACCCTGACCAGAAGCAACCCATTGGTCTTTCATCTTTTCCAACAGGGAGACTGAGGGGATCCCCAGCACTGCCATCAGAGAGATCTCCTTGCTCAAAGAATTGAAGCACCCCAACATCGTCAAGTGAGCTGGGAAAGGAAGTGGGGGGTTGGGATCCTGACTGCTGTGTCCTGAGTCTGACCCCTTCCTGCCAGACTGCTGGATGTGGTCCATAAAGAGAAGAAACTCTACCTGGTGTTCGAGTTCCTCACTCAGGACCTGAAGAAGCACATGGATTCCGCCCCCACCCCGGAGCTCCCGCTGAACGTAGTCAAGGTGCCCAGGGAAAAGCAAGAGGGTAAGGCCACACCCCCGCCCCTGCCGGCCACCTGCTATTTCATAGCTCTTTCTCTTGGGCATTCCCACAGAGCTACCTGTCCCAGCTGCTGCAGGGGCTGAATTTCTGTCACTGCCATCGGGTCATCCACCGAGACCTGAAGCCTCAGAACCTGCTTATCAATGAGTTTGGAGCTATCAAGCTGGCTGACTTCGGACTGGCTCGAGCCTTCGGGGTTCCCATGCGTACCTACACCCACGAGGTAGTGTAGGCCAGGGAGCGGGAGGGACAGCCAAAGGATGTCCCTAGTGGATTCGGTCACCGTGAACAATGCTGCTTCTTGCCTGCACAGGTGGTGACACTGTGGTACCGTGCCCCCGAGATCCTCTTGGGCAGCAAGTTCTATACAACAGCTGTGGACCTCTGGAGCATTGGTTGTATCTTCGCAGAAATGGTAGGAGGGGAACAAGCTAGGCTAGGGGCAAATCTCAATGGTAAAGTGATGGTCTAAATGAGAGAGGCCCTGAGTTCAATTCCCGAGATGGCAGCTTTGAGCCAATGGCCGGGGAGATGGCCTAATAGTACTATTACGTAGTAATATAGTACTTGCTGCCCGGTCTGGCAACTGGAGTTTGATCCCTAAAACCCTCGGGATGGGAGAACTGATGTTGTCTTCTGACTGCCACAAGTACACTGTGCTTCTCTCTCTCTCTCTCTCTCTCTCTCTCTCACACACACACACACACACACACACACATCAATAAATGTAACACAAAAAATGTTAAACCAAAAAATTTGAGCTGTGCATGGTAGCACATGCCTGTCGTTCTAAGACAGGATATATATATATATATATATATATATATATATATATATATATATATATTTTTTTTTTTTTTTTTTTCTGGGTAGCTCTGGAGCCTGTCCTGGAACTCTCTGGCCTCGAACTCACAGAGATCCACCTGCCTCTGCCTCCCCAGTACTGGGATTAAAGGCGTGCACCACTGCCTAGCTAAAACAGGATATTCTTGAGCTCAAGGCCAGCTTAAAAAACGCGGGCTAAGACCACTTGCTTAGTGTTAAAAAACAAAACAAAAAAACAAAAGCAGGAGGGAGGGAAAGAGGTGCACTGAGGCAGGAAGGTTTCTGTGCTTTGATCTACACAGCACAGGGTCGCCAGGATCGCACTGTGGCTGGTATGACCATTAGGATGGGTTGAGGGGTGTCCGTGGCTGGCTGCAGGAAGCAAGGCTTGTTCCAGGAAAGATCAGAATTTTAACATAGCCCCAGGAAAGATATCTTTGTTGTTGTTGTTGTCTGTTTTGAGACAAGACTTCACTGTGTAGCTTTGGCTGGCCTGGAACTCACTCAGTAGACCAGGCTGGCCTCAGACTCATAGAGACCCACCTGCTGTTTCCTCCAGAGTGCTGGCATTAGAGGCATGCTCCACCACACCCAGCTCGGGGGAAAACATCCCTTCCTGGTCTTTCCACTTAGCCAGCGTGGGAGCCTGTATCACAAAGGTCGCACAGAACACTCCCTCTCCTCTCCTGCTCCAGGTGATTGGCAAACCTCTGTTTCCTGGTGACTCGGAGATCGACCAGCTCTTTCAGATCTTCCGTATCCTGGGGACCCCCAGTGAAGCCACATGGCCAGGAGTCTCCCAGCTGCCTGACTATCAGAGCAGCTTCCCCAAGTGGACCAGGAAGGCACAGGAGGAGATCGTGCCTAGTCTGGGACCGGAAGGCAAGGACCTGCTCCTGGTAGGTACAGTGGGCAGGGACAGCACCTCAGCAGCTCCGCAGCCCCTCTCTCAGCCACACTTTTACACAGCTGAGGCTCTTCTGACTGTTGTACACCCTCGGCTTGTCCCTGTTTGTGTTCAGGCAGGAGTTTCTCTCCCGCTATCCAGTGTCCGTCTCCCCTTTGGAAACCTCTTTGCTTTTGTGTCGTGGCTGTAATCTCTTCTTCCTAGTTGTCCCGTGTCTGACTCTCATCTAGATGAGACCACACCTCCTCCTGCCTCAGTGTCTCCCCCGCCCATACCGTTCTCAGAGGTCTGTCTTCACAGGGGCCTGGCTGTGCGGAACAGGCTGCTCCCTACCTCCTGAGCTCCTGCCACCATACTGACCCTTCACCTGCCTCCTGGGCCCCAGATAAAGCTGCCCCAGTTTGCCCACAAAGCCTGCCATCCCCATTTCTGTCTTCACCCTGGTGTCGGGCCAGGGAAGGAAGGGCAGAGTCTCTGTCGAGACCATGGTCAGCTTACCAGAGGTTTGTGTTGTCTACCAGAGTAGTGCCAGTAGAATGGCATGCCCTTCCTGCTAAGGCCCCTTGTCCTTCATATGCCCTTCCATGGCATCCTGCCTGGGTGAGGTACCTGAGGCTAGAGAGCCGGACAGGCCTGACTGGCCCCTGGTTGTGTTAGCTCCTCCTTCACCTTGCTCGTGGTCTGACCTGCACCCCCTCCCTGAAGCATGCATTCTTTGGACAGGTTCAGGGACTGCTGTCTTAACATGAAACATACCCGTCCTTAGCCAGAGAAGCAGGTAGAACCTGGAGGAGACCTGGATGAATCATAGGCCTGCAACCAAAGCTAATGGTTTAACCTCAGTTGTGGGAGTATCCAGAGCTGTCTTAAAAGCTGGGACACATGGGCTTAGAAGACAATTCAGCTGGTAAAGTGCTTGCCTTGCAAACGTGAGGACCTGACTTTGGATCTCCAGAACCCACACAAAGCCAGGGGGCAGGGTGGGGGGGGGCGGCTCAGTGGGCAAAGCTCTTGAGATACCATTGTAGCATCTAAGGTATCATCTAAACAGGAACCTGTAAGCCCAGGCTCCCAGGGGAGGATGAGGACCTGAGACGGCAGAATTCCTAGCATTCACAGGCCAGCTAGCCTGGCCTATGTGTGCAGGCAAACAACAGAGAGATGTGTCTTGGGGCCGGAGTGATGGCTGTTCTCGCAGAGTTCAGTTCCCAGCAGCCACACCAAGTGGCTGAGAGTCAATGTGACTCTAGTTCCAGGGGACCCGATGCCTTGGGCCCCCCTGGGTGCTGCACCCATCTGCACATACACACATTCCCAGACATACACAGAGAGACACACAGGCACCTCGGAGGCACTGGCTTCACACGGTTCTGGGTTTAGGCAACCTCTCAGGGACTTGGCCGTTCCACTGGGACCTGCGAAGGGAGTTCTTCTCCCTACCCTGGTTGCACCCAGGTTCAATCTCTTGTTTTTCCTCCTCAGCAACTCCTGCAGTATGACCCCCGCCGGCGGATCACGGCCAAGACCGCCCTGGCCCATCCCTACTTCTCTACCGAACACTCCTTAGCACCCCGCCATTGCATGGTGGAGCGTCTCTACCACTGAGAACACCTCTACCACCCCTCGCGCCCACCCATTTCCAATAAAGCAGATTTGGATAGAGCATACACCTGTGAGAAATTTTATGTCCGTCATCAGAAGGCTGGATGGGGTTCATCCTACCCAGACATTGGCTACTTCCTGTGTTGTTGGTTGGATTTAATGGTGCCTTTTTTTTTTTTTTTTTTTGATTTTTCGAAGATAGGGTTTCTCTGTAGCTTTTGGTTCCTGTCCTGGAACTAGCTCTTGTAGACCAGGCTGGCCTTGAACTCACAGAGATCCACCTGCCTCTGCCTCCTGAGTGCTGGGATTAAAGGTGTGCACCACCACCGCCCGGCTAATGGTGCCCTTTTAAAAGTCCATTCCGCACAGGGGGTGGGGTGGGATGGGGGTAGCATTAGACCCCTGGTGAGTGAGTGTCAGGTTAGTTCCCAGCCTGCCTGCTGGGAAGCCAGGCCCGAGGACAGGGCGCCCTCTGCTGGTCTTGATTTTGTTTTCAACTGTGGGAAGCACTGAGTCCAGGTCTGAGGACTCAAGCCGGAGCTGGGTAGGACACCCTCATCCTAGGAACAGTTGGGGCACCTGGGTATGTTCTGTGTGACAAGTGGGAAATAAATGTGACTTGTCTCTGCATTGTCTGGTGTCATTCTGTTTGCCAACAAAGGGGAGGTTGACAGAGGGCTGGAGACAGTTCTGACAGGAGCTGAGGGACCGGGGGTCTTCCATGGTCTCTCTTCATGACCACCCGTTTTTAAGGCAGGTGAGCTGGACCCATCTGCCCCACCTAACACATACTTTGGGTAAAAATTCCCAGGCAGGCTGCTCCACGGTTCAAATCCTAAACATACTGAGAGCAAGACAAGACACCAAGATAATTCATTTAATAGAAGCGGTGGCGGGGGGGGGGGGGGCAATGAAACTCCCCGAGTTTGGAGACGGAGCCCAACACCATAAATGTTTGAGTAGGAAGAGGTGGGTGGATGGGGGTGGGGGGGACCCACTGCCTGGGATTACACTGCTTCAGGCCAAGGTGGGGGTGCATGCATCCTCCCCTCTCCCCTGCACGGCCCTCATTAACGCACGCAGGAGCGTGGCAGGGTGGGGGAGGCTGCACGGTAGCAGCGGTAGCCTTCCAGCACGGCCGGGAGTAGCAGCAGGCCACTTAGAGGGTCTTTGCGGCAACGACCCATGGCCTCCTTGTAGCTCAGCCGCTCCTTGGTGATGGGGTCTGTCAAATCCTTCTCGTAGACTGATTCGTCCTGCAGGAGATGGCCCAGGTCTTCACTGATCATCCCGCAGAGCACAGCCTGAGGGACAGGGATGCGTCCCGTCCTCTTGGGGTCAATGAGGCCCCCAGTCAGGTGTTGCGCCAGCAGGTGGGGAAGCACACTTTCCTGGGGCATCCAGCCCTTCTGGATGGCCTCGCCTACTGACAGCCTCTTCTTGGTGACTGGGTCCTCAATGCCGGTGAAGGCCTTCTGAGCGTTGAGCAGCCGTTGGGTGGAGGTGTTCTCGACAAGTCCTCGCTCCATCGCCTTGTGTACAGAGTATCGCTCTCGGCTGAGAAGGTCCACAATGCCCCCTGTGGCTGCCTGGGCCTCCAACAGCTTCTGCCCAGTGATGGGGTCCAGCATGTTCTTGGCCACCGCCGCCTTGATGCTGCACTTGCTCTCTGTGGTCGTGTCATAAACCCCGGCAATGGGGAAGCAGTCATCAGTGAGCCCGAGAGAGAGGCCTGAGGACAAGAGGCCGGTACTCTGGGGGCCCGGGGAGCAGAGTGGGGACTTGGAGATGATGGATCCGATGGAGAGTGAGGAACAGGGCTTGGTCTCCCCTGCCACAAGCAGGGCAAACTCGGAGATGGGGAGGCGGCCGTCCTTGTACCTGTGGTATTCCTCCTTGGAAATCCGACGGCAGTGGAGCGCAGCCTCTATGGAATATTGCTTCCCGCTCTTGCGGTCCAAGAGCACGGACTCCTCCCCACAGGGGCTGGAGGTGGTCACTTCCTCCCAATCGCACTCCAGCTCCTGCAGCTGGAGGTACTGGCCTCTGTCGATGATGCCCCTCTTATAGGCCTCGTACGGAGACATGTCATTCCCGGTCTCCGGTTCCAAGATGCAGATCTTAGTTGAAAGGTTGGTCTCCCGGGTCTGGGTTTCCTGGTTGAGTTCCTCCCGGCTCACCTTGGTGTGCAGATCCCGGAGGGTCCTCTCCTTCTCGTAGATCTTGTCCTTTTCGTGGAGAATGGCTGCCTCGAGCTGTGAGAGGGCCTGGCCACGCTGGGCTGCCTTCTGGCGCTCGCTCTCCGTCTTCTGGCTTAGTAGCCTCCCTTCCTCCTGCAGCTCCCGGGCCTTCTGCTGCTTCTGCCGCTCCAGGTCTCGCAGCTCTTGCTGCAGTTGCCCGCAGTCCTGGCTCGCCTGGTCCCGGGCCTTCTGGAGATCAGCTTCCTCACGGGACCAGGACCTCCTCAGAGCCTCAGCCCGGTCAATCCTCTCCTGCAAGCTCCGTACCTCCTCCTCCCGGGCCCGGTGGGCTGCGCGCTCCCGATTGAGGGTCTCCCATACTCGGGCCCTTTCCCCCTCCAGCACAGGGTCCTTCTCCACCCTGATCACCTCCTTGTAGATGGTCTTCTCCTGGGATTTGGTTTTCTGGAGGACGTCAACCTGGACCTGCAGGCTCTTGCACTCCCGGTGGAGCTCCATCACCCGGCTCTTCTCTTGGTCCAGCTCCCGCCTCAGGGCTTCCGTGGACCTCTCCAGATCCGGATCCTTCTCTAACTTGACCACTTCCTCCATGATGATCTTCTCCTGCAGGGCGGGAGGCCGCTTCTCCAGCTCCTGGATCTTCAGTGTCAGCTGCCGCAGCTCCTTCTCAACAGCCAGCTTCTTGCTGCGGTCCTCCTGGAAGCTGAGCAGGGCCTCCTTCTCTTCCACAGCGGCGCTCAGCTGCCGCACCTCCAGCTCTAGCTGCCGCCGCCGCCCTACTTCCTCATCTAAGCTCAGGCTCAGCCGGCTGTGCTCCTCGTGCAGCTTGGGGTCCTTCTGGGTGACCACCACCTCCTGCACTACAATCTGCTCCTCGGGCCGCCTCCGCTCCAGCAGCAGGTACTTGTTCTGCAGCTCATAGACCACGTCCTCGGTGGCTCGCCTCTTCTGGACCGCCTCCCGCACCTCCTGCCGGAGCCTCTCGGCCTCCTTCTCCAGCACAGGATCCTTCTCGTGCCGCACGACCTCTTTGCTCACCATCTTGGTCTCCACCTTGGACCGTTCCCGCTTCCACTCATCCCGTTCTCCCTGCAGGCGGATCAGCTGCTCCTGGCAGCGCCCATGGGTGTTAACCAGCTCATTGAGCTGAGCCTTGAGGCGGTCGATCTCACGGAGCACTTCAGGGCTCTTCTCATGCCTCACCACCTCCTGGGTCACCTCCTTGTATTCCACCACGGGCTTCTGAGCGCGCAGGGCCTCCAGCTCAGGCAGCAGCTTCTCCACCTCCCTTTCCACGCTGCTCCTCTTGCTGCCTGTCTCCTGCAGCTGGGCCCGGAGCCGGACGATCTCCCGCTCCGTCTCAGGGTGCACCTGGAAGATCTCGTTGACGCGCTCCTGCAGCTGTACCTTAGGCTTCTGCTTCTCCACCACCCTGTACTTGTCCTGCAGGTCTTGCAGTTCCCTGGCCAACACGATGTTCTTGTTCTTCTCCTCCTCCAGGAGGCTTCTCAGCCTGGACGCTTCCTTGAGAAGGCCAGGGTCCTGCTCCACCCTCTTGACCTCCTTCACGATGACCTTGGGCTCCACCGAGCTGATCACCAGTTCCAGGTCTTTGATGCGAGCCTGTATCTTGGCAACTGCCTCCTTTGCCCCCTTCCTCCGCGCGGCATTCTCCTCAACCTGTAGCCGGAGAGTCTGGACCGCCTTGACCATCTCCAGATCCTTCTCCACTTTGACCACCTCCTTCACCACCACCTTCTCCTTCACGTTCGTCTCCTTCTGCTCCAGGGCCAGCAGCTCATCCTTCAGTTCTTCCAGCCGGGCCGTCAGGGTGCCGTTCTCCCCACGCAGCTGTTGCATCTCACCGTGCAGCTGGGTGGCCTGGCTGTCCAGGCCAGGGTCCCTCTCAATTTGGGTGACCTCTTTGGTCAGCAGGTGAGGCTGCATGGTCCTCCTCTTGCCCTCCAAGTGGACGACCTTTTGGGCCACCACCTCCAGCTCGGCCTGCAGGCGGGCCCGCCTCTTGCCCTCCTCCTCCACCTGGGATGACATTCTAGCCATGTTGCTCTCCAGCTGGGGGTCCCGGTAGAATTCCACCACCTCCTTCTCTTCCAGCCTCGCCACAGGCTGCTGGGTCCTCAGCTGCAGCAGCTGCTGCCTCTGCTCCTCCAGCTTGTGCTCCACCTCGGCCACCCGCTTCCGCTCTTCTTCTAGCTGGGACTTCAGGGCCTCTGGCTCTGCCCCTGCTTGCGCTGGGTTCCCGGAGCCCTGCCTTGCTCTGTGTGTCACTTGGATGCCCCCACTAAGCTCCTACAGTGGGGGGCGGGGAGAGACAGAGAGAGAGAGACCTGAAGTGAGTAAAGACTGGAGCCCCATTTTTCTGTACCCCACCTCTGAGGTCAGAGACCCCTCCCTGCTTTCTGTAGATCCCAGGTCGTGGAGCTGAAGACATGGAATGCTTAAGACACGGGATTTTGAGCTCAGTTAGATGGTATTAGGGTAGAAGGCAGGGTCCAGGTCCTTTGCAGCAGATAGTGCCCACAAGACCCTCCCAAGCCTCCTGGCTCTCAGGCCCAACCTTCTCCAGTAGAAGCTGAAATATGGCTCCGGAAGATAAAAGGTGGTCGGTCATGGGAACCATAGAGAGCTCCTAGCTTCTGCTCTACCAGGAACGGAGACCCCAGGTGGCCTGTCACCAGTGTGACTGGGCCCTACGGCTGATGGTGGAGTGTTTCTTGGTTCTCTGGGGCTAGAGGCCAGGTCCCCATCAGAGGATTGCCTATGGCTAAACAATGACTAGAGGCCATCTCCAGGGTCCGCCCGGAATAGGGACAGCCCTGTATGAACTTCTAGTGAAATCTTCA